AACGTTGCTGTTTAATGAAAATACGTTGCATTATGGTTTGTTTATTGTTATAGTTTATTGTTATATTCTTTTTACTTATGGTTGCTCTCAAAAGGGCCGTTTGTTTTGAATATTTTCGGGGTGTTTGATGACGTCATTGTCCATACGAGGCGTACGTAAAACAGAGGGTTCGTATAACTGGGGTACGTAAAAACGAGGTTCTACTGTAAATAATAATTCAAAAAATTACAATAATAACAATAATAAAATAGCAAAAATACAACAGGAACAATAAACCAAAAAAAAAAAAAAACCATTACTGTATCTTTATCATTAACGCTATCATTATCTTAAACTTATCATTATTATCAGATATTAAACTTTTTTCTTGTTTTAATAACTGTGAAAAATTTAAATCAAGTTATATGTTTTAAATATAATGAAATCTGCTATTGTTTTCACCTGTGTTAAGAAGACCGGATTATCTGAAGATACATCATTTTTCAAATCATCTTCAACATCTTTTTGTCTGCCGAAAGTTTCTTCAGTCCATGACCTAGTTTGATCAGCCTTATCATCGAAAATCTCCTCACATTCTGTTGCCTGAGCTGGTTTGGTCTTTGGTTTGGCAGCGGATTTGTCGGAGATTGGTGGAAGTGGTTTGCTATCAAATGGAGATCCCTGTCTGCTGGGTGGTCTGGGTTCTGGAAGAGCTGGTTGAGGTTTGGGAGCTTCTAGCATGAACTCTACTGGTCTCTTTGGCAAGGGTCGGGCAACTTCAGTCACCTTTCTGTGTGATTTGATCGGTACCTTAACAGTAGGTTTACTGGGCTGCGTAGTCTTCTTCCTTACCATCTGAATACCAAGACGATCGGAAAGGTAACGCTTCAATAAAGGTGGGTCTCCACTTCGATGGGTAGTGAGAGGGTTATCGCTTATGATCAGTTCTGATAGTAGGGGCCAAGCCGCTACTGCTAATAATCCTTCTTCCTCAGAAATCTAAAAAGACAAATAAAAAATTTAATAAAATAATAAATATGAGATATAATTAAATAATTCAGAATTAGAATGTACTTATCATCATCATATGAGAGCAACTAGCCCACTGAGTCGGCTAAACTGGTGGTAGCCACTGTGTGTGTACTGAACCATGGAGATCTCTAGGTCCCCGGTTCAATTCCCATTGCTGCTCCCCTTGTGTTTCAGCTGGAGGGCTGAAATGCAAGTTTCAAAAGCGGCACCGTCTTTCGGATGAGACGTCTAAGCCATTGGTCCTGTGTGCAATATGGCCCATGTGCATGTTAAAGGATGCTGTACATTATTTGGTAAAGAGTAGGGGATTGCCTCCCGGTGTACTGCCCAATCACCACCAAAAGGATCCCACTGAAAATAAGTCTTCTTTAGATTTTCGTGGGTTATCATTGGTGTTCACACCGAATAAATGCACCCATCCATCAAACTCTTCTTTCATAGATATTTAAAATAATATGTTGATATTAAAAATAATGCACTACTGGTACTTTATATAAACATCTAATCTCATTTAAGCCTTGTTGTTACTTAGATTGTCAATACCAGAATATGTAGGTCTATTACTTACTTTATTGAATGCTAAGCTAAGATATTCTAGTTCAGGAAAAGGTGGGGGAAAATCAGGGGGTGGGCTCTTAGGCAGCTGGATTTTCAGAGCAATGTCATCAGCTTGGTCTAAAAAAAAAGTTGAGGAAATGTTATTAACAAAGGTAAATAAACAGAAAAAAAAACCTGATTATTCCTGTTATAATATTATTAGTATTATTATTTTTGCTGTTTTTATTATTGCTTTAAGCTTGTGCAGCATTTTCAATTTTTTTACAAAATGTATTTTATATTTGTCATTGTTCTGTATTGTAAATGTTGGACAAATAAATAAATGAAATAGAATTTTAAATGATTAATGTTATTATTACACAATTTTAAAACTTATTTAAATAGCACTTTTCATAATAAACATCATTATTTTTGTTTTTGTTCTTATACAATATACATCTCAATCATAACAGTGCTGCCACATACAACTTGTTTTCCACATATTGCCACCAGTTTCTAAATATATGAAATGATTGTACATTTCATAATTCAGCTCTTCAAATTGGCAATCCCGTCACAAGACAAACATACACACATAATGCTCTACATAGACATAAGCCTGGTTCTCACGAGAGCCCTAGTATCCGGATCGGGAGCTAACCGTTAGTGCTAACCGTTAGCATTTGTGTGAGAACGCCCGATCTGTTAGCGCTAACCGTTAGCAGTATCCGGATACGCTAACTGTTAGCAAGCACTATCGGTTAGCAAGTTGAGGGCGTTTCTATCACCAACCAATCACACGTACACGTTTACAATTTCCAGTTTCTTATTGGCCAGTGATTCGATCATCATATTGTTGGTATCCGGATCGGAATTTTCTCGCATGGACGCACGGCAGCTAACGGTTAGCAGGATCCGGATCCTGCTAATGGAGTGGAGTTGTTTGGTCATGAGAAAAAATCCTGTTACCATAACAGAAATAAAACCAGGTCCCTGGGATTGGAAGGCAAGGATCTTAACCACCAATCTATTCAACTCCACTCTGTACATAAATAGGTGGGAAGTGCTAAACTAATTAAACAGCTCTTACCATCTTGATCATCATCTATGTTTTTGGATTTTGTAGGAGTGTTACTTCCCCCTCTGCTTGACAGTCGTCCACTTCTCGGTCGTCTTTTACCTGATTTCGGAGTGGATGCTTGTGATGACACCTCACTATCAAAACCTGTTTTACTCGAGGCTCGTAAATGTGGTATGGAATATATATCATTTTTGTCTAAATTTAAACGTTTCAATCTGAAATCAGAAAAAAATTTTTTATAATGATGACTGCATTTTTGGTATCGTTAGGGAATGGATTTTCTATTGATTGGTCGGTTAGTTAATTGAGTGACAGATCGCAAAGACCTTTTATGAATACCATGTTCTTTGCACCTGCCATTAGAATTGAGTTGGGATGTAATTTTGTAGTTAAAATTATCAATTCCTTCCAATTCCAAAGTGTTTTGTTCAAATCATTACAAATTTCTCTCCCACAAATTAATCCATCTCCCACATATTCAATAATAAAAATAATGCTTATAGTAACAATAAAAGATTACTACTAAAATCTTCTGATAAAAATTGATATTCAGTAAAATATATAAAATAAAATATTGCATACTTTTTAAGACCAGCTAAACTTGCAAATGTTGTAATATCGGTGAGATTATTGTCATCTAAAAAGAGAATTTCAAGATTACCAAATCTAGGAAGCAGTGCTGGCTGACTATTCCTAGAAAAAAACACAATATACATAATTTAGAATCATTTCTACGCCAAAGAGTATAAAAACACAATGGTCATTGTTCGTGAAAGCAAAACAAATTCATCTTAGATGTCGATGCTTTAAATAAAATACTAAATTTGAGTACTTAAAATATATAAATATATCAGTCGCAGCATATATTGAATATAATAATAGCAATGAAAGTGACAGTGGCAGCCATAATTAGTTTATATTATTATAAAGATTATAAAATAGACTATTCCTAATTTATACATATCTTGCAGCAGGCCCAAGAGCAGGAGAAAGCTGACAGCAGCAATAGCATCAACTGGAGCAGAACAGCTGACATCTTTTGAGTGTATTGTTGTATGTTGTGTCCATCCAAGGGGCTGACATCAACAGTAATTGATTTGTATTGACGAATTACTGATAACATCAACCCTCGGAAAGCCACAGATATCTGGCTGCATCTGCATACATAAGAAAGAACTCACCTTCCTACGTAGGCTGCAGTACAATGGGTGCAACCTGCTTTGAGCCTCATGAAACAAAAGGACACAGATATCCACCCTTTGCCAAGATCACAGAGGAAAATATATAAAAGGATATGATATCCAAAAATTTGTCCACTATTTTTCAAGTTTGTCGCATTCTTAGGAAATGTCACGCAATCTTACCTGATATCCTAAAAAATCTATCATGACTGATATTTTGATATTAGCCATCTTAACATATGACCTTATGATCACTTACTCAACTTCAACAGAGTAGGGATGTGCCATCTCCACTGGAAGACTTCGAATCTGGTTGCCTGTGAGGTAGAGCACCTTAAGCTTAGGAAGCACACCGAGTTTAAGGACATCGTCTGATGACAAATTGTTATACGAAACATCAAGCACCTGAAACATGAAAGCAATTAAAATGTGTAACAAAATGAGTAAATTTATTGGACACATACGCCCTTTTGTAGTTTTACAACAGGGCACATACTACGTCAACAAACATCAGTTGATGATCTCATAATGTCAGCTCTCTGCGAACTTGATAAAAATTATCCATGTTCTGCAAAGGAATGCATCGGCCAATGACCGTTGGTGCAGCGTGTACCTAGTCTTCATTTTGAGGCCAAGAGCTGAATCATTTGGGCAAGGCATTTGCTCTATTCTTTCCTCCTGTACTGTAGAAGTATAAATGGCACCTTTCACTGAATTTGTCTGTGCACAATAACAGGGGTCCCACGGTGGAAGCTACTTCTGTGATCTTTTAAAATGAGCTTTTTAACACATCTAACTTCATTCTGTCTGTGCATGGTGACACCTATCGGCACTGACTTCCAGGAGACAATTATTGATATTACAATATAGTAAAAACATGAAAACATCATACATTTCCAGGAGGTTGATTATTTCCAAAGATTCTCACTTGCTCACAAAAGTGTGGAAAGCCGCCTTCTCAATTTCTGGGAGTTTCCTGCGACTTTCAGGGGACTTATGACCCCTGCACTGACTAAAAAGCTTCCTCAAAAAATAGCGAAATGTGCATTTATTTGAAATGTAGCAATAGTGATATTCTGAATGTTAAGTGAGTAGAATTACCTCTAGATACGGGAAGTCTTCAAATTGAACCTTAATATTTCTTATAGCATTCAGTGGCAGCTCCAACTCTCTCAAAATAGGGAATTGATTAAATGATTCTGAAAGACAAAGAAAAAAAAACCATGATTGTTCTGAAAGTTGTATTTTGCATATTGAGATGGTAATGAATAAAGGGCAAACATCAATTCGTAATGAATAAATAAATAACAAAATGTCTCTTTAATCAATATTTCATTATTATGGAAGACCTAATTGAATGACTGGATGTGTTAAATATACATGCTTACAGTATACTGTTAGGCATAAATGAAAGTCATCTGATATCAGGTCCATTCGAAAATGATAAATTATTTGAAATAGTTTTTGATAGGCATATTACAGCTCAATTCAAACACTTAATGCTAATGATGACAATTATTTTATGATATGTGGCTAATGAATCACATTCTCAAACGTAGTGTTATTCTTGCCTCCTACTGTACTTTACCTTTGAGAATTAACATCTCATAGGACAGACATTTAGACAGGGATTTTAATAAGTGATTGAGCACTGTAGTTTTGAAACAATTGATAATGTACTGTATACTGTATAATGTTCTATGCATTACAATAAGCAGTCAATTTACACATATTTATTTATTTATTTCAACAATATTTTGTGAGGGTGATCAACTGCTGCAGCTGATCATGAGGGACCCTCAATACATATAGCAAGAAACAAAGGAAATGAAATAGATTTAGATAAATAAAAGAATTAAATGAAAAAAAATGAAAAAAGAATTACAAATGTAATATAACAATAAAATAAATAAAAATAAGACAAAAAAAATAATATATACAAATTTTCCTAAATGAAAATTAAATATACAGTAAATTTAACTATAACCAAAAAAACCCCAGAATAATTATTAGATAGTAAATGATAAGTATAATTAGTACAGAGAAGGCATCAAATTAATATAAAATTATATAATGTAATGTAATTATATTTATACAGCACTTTATACCAAAGTATCAAAGCGCTTAAGCAGTGTTCTCCCTAGCATCATGGGCAAGCGTCATGGTGGTCCACAATAGTTGGGACTGACACAAGGTATTTTTAATAATTAGGAGGCATTGATACGTCCTAAATTGCACTTTAAGACTACATAGAAGCAGGGAACAGTTAAATAATTTAACAGTTCCTTGATAAAAACATCATGGAAGACGTTCCAAGCATCATGGTCAACTGTCAAGCATCATGGGGATGTCCCAAGCATCTTGGTACCATGATGCTTCACGGGCCTGGGAAGAACACTGGCTTAAGGCATGAACTAGCTCACTCAATAATATTCTACTTCCATAAGTGTCACTTCGTATCTGAACTACCTGGTAGAACAGTGCCAGCACAACAGGGGCTATATGGACCAGCAGACTGTGATAACCTCCTGTGTCTTTTAAGTGCACGAGCCAATTAACATCTCGACGAGATTGGATTGATAGATAAACCGACTAATCAGCGAGCGTCATTTAGTCACGTGATCAAAAACTTTTTCTCAGACATTTTAATTTCTTTAGACAGCTGGTTGTCAACGTGAAACATACCTAGCCTAGGCCTAGATGTCTGTGCTTGGTTACAGATACCCAGATTTACACGAGCAGTGCGCATCAGTGACTTGGCCTTTGCCGACAATGAGGTTGACTGAATGCGGCTTTTCCCTCTTCCTTTGGGAGTGAAATACAGAGGCTTTTACAACAATTTCCCCACTTGTTCCATGAAATAGATTAACACTATGAATATATGATTCATCTGCATACAGCCAGTCCTGAATTTTCTTTCTTAAAAAAGGTTGGTAGCAAAGAAAATGTTCGCCAACTCGGTAAGTCTAGCTGCCATTGTCTAAGGTTTTCGTGACTTTGTGGGCGGGGCTTCGCATCCTTGTCAACATGTCAATTGTGTACAAGGTTTAATAGACTTGCCTATACTGTACAAGGAGACCTGTTTCACCACCAGAACCATAGACCAGCGTGTTGTTCGAACCAGCGCCAATATTATGGCTATAGTTGCGGCGGTCTTGCCTTAACTGTTTGGCCATTCAACTTACCAATAATAATTTTTTATACTCAATTTACATCAGACAAAACATTACCTGGGACACATGCTAGAGAAAATTTAGCAAGCATTGATTGTTACATCCCGTCCATGTAAAAGACTGACATGTGTCCAGTGTAATAATAGCCATGTAAGAAAACATCAGAGGCCTGTACAGTAGAACTACTGAGATATTTATCAAGAATCCATGCATATGCTCAAAAGAATGGAGTTTCTCATTCTCCCTGTGGTAATATGCATATTTCGCTGTCTGTCTTGCTATTTCTTCCTTCGCAAAATTTATTTGGTAAAACTATTTACAGTAGCCTAGTATATTATTACAGTATTTGTCGAATTTGAATTTCAAATCTATTGTTGTCATTGTTGACGCCGACGTTATTACCACTGTCGGCGTCGTCGTCATAATTGAATTTTATTTTTTATTTACATAAACTTGGTAAATAAATCTAACAAGAGAGTTACATGAAAAATATTGGTCAAGCAGTATGTGAGGTGACATAATTATTCATACAATACAAAATTATGTTAATATTAAATGCAATGGCGTTACATACACTATAAAAATAAGCTAGGCAAACAGGTACAGTAGTATAAATTACAGTTATTCAAAGAAACTTTGAACAAACAGCTGCTCAAGATCAATTTACTTCCCATGAACCAAGTTCTACTCTCAGTGAATGACAAAGAACACAAGTAATGCAAAGCGGTTTGGTCAATAATAAGTTCCAAACGGTTATAATAAGATCGGTTAGAAAACTGAACATGCTTCTGTAAATACGCTGCGTAAACATTATACTTCACAAAAAGCATTATGTGAAATGAGTTTTCATCTTAACATAAATTATCCTTCTTAGAACAGTTTTTAAAATTCATTATTACCTTCAAAACAATTTTCCTCGCACACAAAATTATACAAAGATCTACATAAACTATTTTCTTTTTGTTAATAATATTTTTAGTTTACTTGTAATTTTTCGACTTTACCTTAAAATGTAATTACTGTATTTTTAATGTTTCTAATAGAACATTTTAGACTACAATTAAAAACATACTATCTAACCTGGTATTGGGTTATCTAGGAGATACGGAAAGGTAGTGTCACCTGTACATTTATGAGGTACAGGCCTAGATTACATTTCAACTTGACCTAAAAGTGAGTTAATTACATTCATCTTATTAAAATAATGCAAAAAATTTGCATTTTAACTGTATAGTACAATACATGATTCGAACCCAGAGCCTTGAGCTTATTAGACAACACTTTAACAAAACTCCCCTTATTGTAATTAATTATTATAATAATGTTATACTTGTATAGCACATAATGTACAAAAAGTCTTCAATGCACTTCACATCATAAAATTATTAAAATATTTAAACAAACAAATACGCTAATAATATTCAAAAACAAAAAAAAATCACAAAAAAAAAAAAAGTATCCCCATGCACCTTGTAATAAGCTAGTTTAGACATAAATTTTTAAAAGCTTTTGTGAAATCAACAAATATTATTATCATTCTGGTGAGAGTATATTGGTAATAACACTTCAGATTATGAATTTTATTACATGTTTCCTTCATACAGCAATGCAGGGGGTTTGCGAGCTATGATGTTGATAAATCATTAAATTTTATTGCTTAGCTACAGATGAGCTAGATAGGGTGTGACATCACAGAACAATGTACTCGAAATAATGAATAATAATCAAACACCTACAGTGTATATTCAATTGTATATTTAGATCTCATTGATAAAAAAGATTGAGCCCTGAGTTTTTAACGTATTTAAAATAGCTTGTGATGTAAAGCATTGTTTATAATTTTCAGCATGCGCATGGTTACACACTGCGTGTGCGGTAAGGTATTTGTTAGCAACTAAGTCATGTCTATTGTGAGCTGGTTAATAGCGTTTCATAATGAAGTGAATTTTTGCTTTCTTAGTGGAAGTTAATTGTTGGAAATAATATGAGAATTAGAACCCCTCAATTATAGTGGAAGTTATTTTTTGAAGTGTTTTTTAATCCTGCCACACTAGAATTAGAACCTTACATAAAACAGTCAGACTCCGGAGGAAAACATTTTTTGATCCGAAAAACTGGGGAACGGTGAATGAGATACAGATTTTTTAATATTTAAAAACGGGGGAAAAAGGGGCGTAACCACCCATTTTTACACATTTTCCCCCAGTTTTTAAATATTCAAAAATCTGTATCCCATTCACCGTTGCTCAGTTTTTGATCAAACTACTTTTTTCTGTCTTAGAAAAATCAGTTCTACAATATATAAAAAATTGTTTTCCCTCTGGAGCCTGACTTTAAGGAAGGCTGTAAAATAACAGGAATTAAATGTTAAACCTTGAAAGAAATTATTGAAGTCGCTATGCTAAATAAAATGTATAATATAATCAATGATGATAACACCCCTCTTCACAATCATATCAGTTTTAGCAGATCCGATAGAATTGCTACCTCAATAACAAAAGCAAATAGACACAAAGACTCATTCGTAGTACAATTAAGATGTTAAATGATATATTTTTTAGATGACTTTATTCTTTTGTTCTATTAATACTCTTAATTTATTTTCAGAACGTGTTATTCTGTGCAACCTGTACTATGTTTGTATTAAATATCTAGTGTATTAATAGTATTTTTATTCATTGTACCAAGAAAGCAAATTTCATGTATTGCATTCATTACTATATATAT